CAACAAACATTACACACACAAATACATACACATACACGCACAAATACATACACAGACACGATCGGAAAACTGAAACTCACCGGCACCTCTCACAGTCACTCTCCGACGTCCGAAAATCGACGGCGACGGCGGCGCATCAGCAGCCCCTGTGACAAAAGACATGCTCAGGAGTTGTAAACCCGCTGTCAACCACCGGAGCAGACAACCAGCCGGAAAAAAGCGACGACAGCGGTGGCGAGGTGAGGGCGACAAATACGGTTGGAGGTCGTCTGACGGAGCCAATCCAGAGTCGGTCTATTCCCTGGCGGGTAGCAGCCGCGGCGAGCTGGTCTGGCAACTCGGCGAGCGACGAGGCAGTAGGAAGCTGGACGATTCCTTTCGCCGGAGATGGTGGATCGGACTGCAGCGGTGCACGGCCATAGAGGTCAGGTTTCTTGCCGCGGTGACGGCGAGATGTGACGACAGCGGCAACCACGACCAGTAGAGCCATTCTCGCCAGTGACCACGACTAGCAGGGGACACACCGGAGTCGTTGCAGAGCTCCGGTTGTCCAACATCGCAGCGGTGTCATCCGGACGGCAAAGTGACCTTCCTGTCAGCGAGTGGTTCCAGACGGCAAAGGGTGGATATTGATTTTAGAGGGGGACTTGTGGTTGAGAATTTGATATTTGTGAGGGACTAAATTGCAATTTTCATATTTGTTTTATATTTCAATTTAGCCCATAGGCTAAATTTGCAAATAATTGAAGTTTGGATATATTTCAATTTGAGCCATGTGGCTAATGTGTAATTTTCAGGAAATGTAAGTAAACGAAAAGGACTTTAGCTACATTGGATCCTCATGAGCTCCAACGACGGTACACCAAGCAGTGTAATAAATTTGCAAATGCTAATTAGTAATTTGGGGTTTCATTGGTTTTTGTTTTTGTTTTTTTTTTTAAATTAAATAGTATTGAGGGACAATTTTATAATTTTATTAATTTTGAGTATTTTTTAATTTAGTTCATGACCAAATATGCAATTTATAAATATCTCATATTACTGATAAATAAATTGTATAATGTTTAAAAACTTTAGTATGTAAAATTTTAATATATAAAAAATATTTAAATAATAAATAAACTTTTGTAATAATAAATACACTGCGACTGCACAAATGGCGTTAGACGAATTGCACTTTAACGACTACCACATTGCACCATAATGTTAGATGAATTGCACATAATGATCGAAACTGAATGAACTAAAGATTTCGTTTCGAATGTAGAAACATCTCATAAATGCATATTAATGATAAATAAGTGTACAATGTTTAAAAATTTTAATATATAAAAAATATTAAAATTATAAATATATTTTAATAACGATAAATAATAAGCTGCACATTGGTGTAGGACGAATTGCACTTTAATGACTACCAAGTTGCATCATAATGGTAGACGAATTACACATAATGACAGAAACTCAATGAACTAAAGATTTCGTTTCGAATATAGAAATATCTCAAAAATGCATACTAATGATAAATATGTGTACACTTTTTAAAATTTTTAATATATAAAAAATATTAAACTAATAAATATACTTTTATAATAAGAAATAAGAAATATATTGCGACTGCACATTATTGTTACGCTACCAAGTTGCACCATAACGTTAGACGAATTGCACATAATGACCAAAATTGAATGAACTAAAATTTTTGTTTCGAAATCATATATTTCGGTTCGATTATCTATTCTTATTTGTAAAATATCAATTATATCTGATCAATATGAACATTATTTTTTTAAAATAACGTAAATAATCAAACTGACTACTTATATAAAAAAAACAATATACATTTATATATATTTATTTAAAAATATTATTTATTTTCAGCTAGAAAAATATAAAATATTAAAAGTACTAAATATAATTTTTTATTATTTAAATATTAAATTATTATATTATTTATAGTATTTAGGTTACCGATTATTTAAATTCGATTTTAGTTTGGATTAGAACAAATTATTAAACAAATATATGCACTATAAGTGCACTATACATTTAGATGAATTGCACTACTCTGTTAGATGAATTGCACATTAATGACTATCGAATTGCACTTAACCGATTGAACTAATTTTTTCAGTTCGATAATTTGTTTTTACTATGATCACGATTATTTCAGTTTGTGGTCGACATTATTTTTTCAAGTAAATAAGAAAAAACATACTTTTAAATGATATTTTCTTTATTCAATTATATTTTATTCATTTTGTAAACTAAATATATTTTATAATAAAAATAATACAATATTTCAATTCAGATTTTGGTTAAATCGGATTGCCGACCAAATGAACCGAGTACTTATGTTCGATTTTAATTCAATTTTGGATAACAGTTCGGTCAGTTAAGATTTTTCAAACGTTCGACTGAATTATTTCAATTTTAACACTTCGGTCGGTTTCACCCAAACAAATCGATAAATGATATAACGCATTCCTGTAAATTTTATAATTTTTCGCGTGCATATACACACACGCCATTGTGCAATTTATTTATCGTTGATGTGCGACATAACCAACAGTAATATGCAATTATTCGATTTAATTACATACTTAACCTATAAACCAAATTGTAATATATTAAAATTCCAAATTTGCAAATGAGTCCCTATGAGATGTCAAATTTTCAACGCACAGATCCAAAATCTGAATCTCATCAGCTCCAAAATCTGAATCTCATCAGCTGACTTTACAATCACCCAATCTCAGCCCCAAAATCCTGCAACCGTGCTGGTGAACGGACCTCCGGCGACTAAGACCGCGGCATTGTGGTCGGCGGAGGCTACTGTCACCAAGGAGGCTGCAAGATGGAAAGAAGATGAATATTGCTGGTGGTCGTGGGCTCCGACTGGCCGTCGAACCGAAGGCCATTAACGTGGAAAGAGAGATTTATGGATAGAACCGCCGGCTTATTGGCCGATTTGGCCGTCGCCGGGTCGGTGGCCGCGGAGTTTGTGCTGGTCGATGCCGGATTGGTCTCCTGCAAGTTGTGCCCAGTGGCCGTCGACGTCAACTGGCTAAAGACGGCAATGACGCGCGCTGAAGGAAGGTGGTGGCCGGCGACACCGTTGACGGGAGGAAGGTGGTTGCCGGCTATTCTGGACGTGCGACTGTGTGTGTGAGTGTCCTGTGAGAGAGAGATCGTTGAAAGTGTGTGTTGTGTGAGAGAGAGAGAGATGCGTGAATTGCATTATGATGGTGGGGTTCACAAGGATAATGGATGAATGTATAATGACTAGAATGTCCTTATTAAGTGGGCAAATTTAGAAATTTGACCACAGTAAGACCACTTATTTATAGTGTTGCCATTGACTCTTTTATCATTTAATAAATTTGACTTAATCATGATAATTGATATTTTAGATCTATTAGTTCAGAATTATTCTTATTTCTTTCACTATCTACCATTCTCATATGATCCCTTCTATATATACATACATATATATATATTTGAGTTCAAATGAGAATTGAGCTCAATGAGAGAAATAAGAATAAATCGTATTCATTAAATCGGATGATCTAATGGCTAAAAAATCCAAATTTATGCCTTCATTAAGGGTACTATTGTAATTTCAACACACAAGCAGTAGGACCCACATGCCACCTCATCCCTTATCTCTCATCCCCTTATCTCTCTCATAAACAAATACACACACATATGCCACGTCAGCATCCACCCATACACAAACCCACGCTAAGCACACACAACACGCACAACACACGCACACACACATCAGACACAAAACACACACACCACCCACACAAAACATACGTACACATATTCAAACACACCCGCCGGCAACCACTCTGCCAGCCGACAACCACATGTCGCCCGCCTGTCGACCGTCGCACGCCGCCTGTTGCCCACCACACGCCGTCCGTCGACCGCCACATGCTGCGCCCCTTTAACCGTATGCCGCCCGACGATCACCGTCTGCTGCACGCCGCCTGTCGACCACTGCACGCCACTAGCCGCCCGTCGCGCGCCGCCCGCTGCACATCTCATGCTGCCCGCCATCCTATCTTATCCACCGTCCTCCACAGCCGACGTCGACTTCCTCCGCTGCTGAGCTCAACGCGTGCCGCCTCCAGCTGGGAGAAGACCACCAAAATCGACCGCGTTTGCCGCCCACCACTTGCCGCTGATCCGGTCTGAGAAATGGAGCAGATGGAGGCTTATCTTATCTGATGTGGGATAACTAACATATCAGACGGGTTGGGGACTCCGTCGGCGGGGACCGACGAGATGTCGCCGGCGACAGAGGTTTTGAATATATTAACCAATTCTTTATTTTTCGATCGTCTCGAAGGGACAAAAGAAAGATCTTGTTCTTTCTTCCACAATTTCTGATCTCTAGTGGACCTCTCAGTAGGATTCGAACCCATATGAAGTTCTGACCATGTATCAGAGAAAAAAGAATGAACCGATTGTTTAGGATTCCCAAGAAATTCTTCGATTTCTTCAGTCGGATTGAATCTCATCGGAGCAGACAAAATGTTGTTAAGGGGCTTGATTGCAATTTCTAAAGGTTTTNATAATAATAATAATAATAATAATAATAATAATAATAATAATTCATTTAGATTATTTAGCTTAATTTGATTTACAATTATATCTACTATAATATACTTTTCAAAAACACATAATTTGTATGCGATCATATAAAATAATGCACTTTATATATCAGCACAATGCACTTTATAAAACAACATGTTGCACATAAAACAACACGTCGCACTTTATAGAACAACAAACTACATTTTATCATCACACTCCACAATTAACGTTAATAGTTCCGCCAAAATACCATACAACCTTGCCGTTCACATTGGTCTGAAAAGTCCTTCGTTTGTTGGCCTGTACGCGACTTCCGTTGGTTCAGGGTTGTCTTAATCTTTGTGTGGATCACTGATTCTCAATTGTCTGTCGGTCCACTCTTGACCAAAAATCTTTCTCTTGCTATCTCCATCTTGGTACATCGGCGATCCACACTAGTGTCCGTACAAATCATACGGTACCATGTCAATCGTCATTCATTAACTGCTTTAGTGGAAAATCGTTCTCCCGAGCGCATCTTTCATTCAAAATGCATGCCTTTAAGCTTTTTGATCATCTTTCCTAATGGCCCATCGATATGTAATACTGATGAGGACAACTAGCAACTACAGCTCGACTCGTTGTGACCCGGCGTCTGACGACACGGCACGTTGCATGCGGCTTACCCACTACCCGAGGCCCTCGGGCGCGGAACACCTGCATGCGGTACCTTCATGCGATGTACCTATGGCGTCAGTGTTGCCTGCAGTCACAAACACCGTCGCATCCACATCTTATGCTAGTAGCCTCACTGTACTACGCCGGGGAGTTCCTACAGCCACTCGGCGCACTACATCTCAGATCTAGCTTCTTCTTGGTACAAATCGAGGGTTTCACAGCTCAAAGGAACAAAATTTACCCAAGGCTACTAAAGTCTCAAGGTTAAAGCTTCTATGTTCTTCCTTGCCTTTCATAATCTTTGCTCTTTGTTACGCAAGTCTCAGCTTGATACTAAGATACGGTTCTCCGTGGCTGAAAAAATCTTCTACTTTGCTCGTTTGGCGACTTTTCCAGGCTCTCTACAGACTTACCAATTTCTTCGTAATCCTTTCCCCGAAGCCTAGTCTAAGGCTAGTGATGTCAAGATACCACCAAGTCTTAGAGATGACTTCATCACCTCAACTTTCTTATGAATGTCGTTCTTGAGGAGTCGGGCCCCTCGACTTCCTGTGGAAGGTGTCCAAGCTTCAAGTTGATCTTGTCACGTGTTGTCGTCTTGCATGGGATCAATAATTTTTCGACTCTCGAAGGTGAGTACTTACTCTCCTCCTTGAGTCTACTAAGCTTTTGGTTATGGGTGCACAACTTCTTTATCCTTATGAACCATCTGGCGCACCTTACGGTGACGCCCTTGGTCGAACTATTCGCAACTCGGATCTGGGTCTTCAACTCTTGTAGCTCATTGGCGTCTCTCGGTACGACGCTTTGACACTGGTCCTACTCCAACACTAGGTCACTTGAATTCCACGTGTCGGTCAGGAGGTCGTCTCGATAACATTTTCGAAAATACGTACACGAAGTTGTGAACAACGGTTACTCTCCGGGCGTTGTCAGTGAAATGTTCTCTCTTCACGACTTCTAGAATTTTCCTTATTGGCATATCGTCCATCAGCTCACAACTTCAAACTCGAGATTTGTGGCATTTGGCATAGGTATGCGAAATTTTATAAATCTTCGTCTTCCTAAACAAACTATCTTTTACTTTCACATGTACGAAGGTTGGTTCTTCTTCTTGAATTATGATGGTTGTGAACTCCCTCTCGGCATGCGTTGGATATTCTGGCGACTGCTACGGTCTGTCGCTTGAGTATTCTCATTCTATTGGAACTTTCTGGTGCGACAGCTTCTCCATACTACTTTTGACAATCGTTCATCAAAGTTTCGGGCGGTCTCTCTCTCTCTTTCTTCTTATCAAGGTGGCTCGTTGCATGATCTTTGTTATAACTGCGCGTAATATGATCCTTCTTGTCCATAGCGTCCGCTTACTTAACCTTCGCAAATGCTGAATTATAGCAACAACTTGCATTTTGTGGCCTTTGATAATATTGAATTGAAATGAAAATTTAATAAAGACGTACAGAAAACATCCAACATTCTCAGTCTCAACTTTAGATTTCAACGGAGTTTCAAAAAGTACAGAAAGTAAACTACACGGAATGGAGCTAATACAGCTAAATTAAACTACACGCATCTTCTTGAGTCTTCTGTAGTCTTTGGGAGTTCGGTCTCTATGGGTCAGCGCTATTTCTCTGCACGATCGTGGCACGTACGTGACGTGTGGCCAGGCCTCTGGCAATGATAGCATATGTCTCGTTCAACTAGGCAATCGCCGTGATGGCAACGTCTGCAAGTGGTGCAGGCTGGTGGTTTTGTTGGGTCTTCCAGTAACGGTTGCTCTGCCCGAGCTCGATTCCTCTTTCGGCGGTTCCTCCTTTCGTAACGATTTCTCCAATTTCTCTTGTTCTTTGGCGTGTGCATGGCTGTCTGTGTTGTTGACTGTGACGTCGACTGTGGTGCAGGTTGTTGGCTCTGGGGTATAGTGATCTGTTGAACTCGACGGATAGTCTCGACCATCGTTACGGTGTCGTGGTTTGTTACCACGTGCCTGATCTCTTCTTTGATGCCATTGTCTTCGAACTTGTGAACCCACTCGTCCACGAAGGAGGGTCCCATCTGATCTGGGTAAACTGGCGGGTGGAAGCTCTGAGAATGCATCATCAAATGGGTCTGGGTCAATCCTGGCATAGCCTGACTGTGATCAGCCATTTCTGGCACAAAACATAATCGAGGCTTTATATCTCACTTAGAGCTTAACTAGAGTTACAAACTTAATCTTGAGTTTTGGACTTATCCTTTCTAGAGTTCTACCTAGAGTTCTGGCTAGAGTTCCCAATTCTTAACCTTTAGAGTTCTGAATTCCTATTGGAGGATAGATCTTATGCCACTTAGACTTCTCGTGCTATACATATTGAAGTTTGATACTTGTATCCCAAGTACTCAGATATTTAACTAAACAGAAGATAAAGAAGATTCAATCCATTATGCAAGCAGTATAACTTAAATTTGAACCTTCAGGAGAGCGTCCTAGTCTCCCTTCGGATCTCTTTCATTAATGCAAACAATAAACACATTCTTCAAAGGTTTACAGTATAGACTCCCTCTACACTCTACTTGAACAATGATTTGCACTACTACTTATCCGACCGCAAATCCCTTGTGGTTTTTCTCATTTGAATCTCTCAAACCGAAAACAGAAAGAACCTCCACTCTCTCTACATTTTTTCCTCACAATAAAACTGCTCACCCTTAATCTCTTCACTCAATAACAAAATAATACAAATCGCTCTCCAAACAAAACAGCTTCGTAATCCCAGATTATCTCCCCAAAAGAAAAATTAAAAAGTCGCTACTCAATGATCTTCACGACGTCCTTTTATCTCCTAACACATATGGTAAGTTTTTCATCAAACTTCGATCCCAAGTCAGGTCGTCTTTTTGGAAGGCCCAGGTCGCGTGATCCGAATCTTGTGCATATGGAAAGTGAGCACGCATGGAAGGTAAGCGTATATAGAAGGTGAATCCCAATTCCCTTGCATTAGACCTGCCATAATAAAACACGTATAAATATTAACCCATAAGCTGACGTAATTTAAAACATGTCCAAAAAATAAAGCAGACTTCCCTTAAATATTTTTATGTCGTCTGAACCTAGGAACTGATGAAGGTTCGTCGATTTACTGCCAATCTTCAAAACTTACAATCTCCCCCTTTGGCAGATAAATCGAAAACATATCCTCTGAACCTGCATGCAAAGAGACATTTCCTGCAACATATACATTTGCCCAACGTATACTTACCAGACCACAAATATGTTGTTCGTTTGAACAACTTAACCACCTGAATATTTCAAAATAGGAAAAAGACAGTTCACAGGTTAAAAGATAATGTCTATGAACCAACCAAAAGAAAGGGAAAATAAATAAGAGTTCGGACAACCAACACACAGATCAAATAGTTTTTAGTTTTAACAAAACGCAATCAAATTTTCAGCAGAAGAGTCTAAGCAGACCCTTCATCATCCTCAGTCTCCTCATCAGCAGAACCTTCATCAGAGCCAGCTTCAGTGTCCTCTTCTGAACCATCCTCTTCTTCCTCAGCCTCATCAGTTTCCTTCTCGCCTTCTTCAAGTCTTCCTCTTCTTCAGACTCAACCTTATCTTTTCCCTTGGCAGTAGCAGCAGCATCTTTCTCCTTTTCTTTGGCAGCAGCCTCCTTCCCCTTTGACTTGGTTCCTTCTTTCTGTTTCTCCCCTTGCTCACAGCCTTCTTTTTCTCTCCCTTTTTCGATTTAGATGTCAAAGGGGCACGTGCGGACAAGGCACCAATAACCTATTTGTAGTAACTGCGCTGATCGGCCAACTTCTTTTTCAAAACAGTGAGAACAGCCACTTGTTGGTTAAGGAAACCACAGAGCTGTGAAGGTACATCAGAGGCTTTAACAACAGTGGGAATATGGGGAACGGTCTTAACCCCGGCCAGTGCAAGAAGTTTCAGGGATGGAGAAAGTTCATCACCCACACATGGATCCATCTTGATCCCTGCCTTCATTAGAATGGCATAGATAGTGGAAGGAAAGGGCAACAACTTGTGGGTTTCGATACTTCAGCAAAGAAGACCACATGGAAAAAATAAACGGAGCCCAAGTCAAACGGAGAACCACATAGTATGCGATAGATCACCCTTGCTTGTATGGGCATCACAAATTGTTTGTGAGAAGTAGGAGTCTAGTTCAAAGAGCCAATTTTCTGGAGAGCATTGGCTTGAGGAGTGAGGCTCTTCACAAACAAACCAGGGTTCAACCACTTGCTCAATTTTCCCCATGTCAAA